TACTGCCCGCGACCACATCCTTAGCACCCACCCCCGTGACCTTACTCTCACTGACTTTGTTGACACCCTGACTGCCACAGAGATCCGTCAGCGCTCTATCACCCAGACCAGCGGTACTGTGCCGGTCCCTATTTTTCAGGGTTGTGCCCCTGCTCAGTGCATCTTCTCCAACGGTTCTGTCGCTGTGGCTGAGTCCGCAGCTGCAGCGCAGATCCGTTCCGGGAAGGGCCGCCGCCCCAAGGTTGGGCGCGGCGGTGGGGGTGGAGGTGCAGGTGGAGGTGGTGGTGGAGTCGGCTCGCCTAGTGGTAGCGCTGACGAGGGGACCCTGGCAGTTGCACCCGAGCAGCCGTCTCAGCAGCCGCACGTTTCACAGTCGGACACGCACCACCCGCAGCAGCAGCCCTCGCACCAGCCGCAGCAGTAGAGGCGGGCGAGTGGCCTCCCGCCCGGGTGGCTTGGCGCTGGTGGTGGCAGTGGCCGTGGTGGTCATGCGAGTGGTGGACAGCAGGGTGGCGGGTCGGGTGACGCGCGCTGTCAGTTCCAGCTCCAGACCGGTCCTCGCCGTGGCTCTGTTTGCGGTAAGATCGGTCACACCTTCGTCCGCTGTTTCCGTCGCCTGGACAACCTATTTCGTCAGCGCTTCGGCCCGTCGCCCGACCTCCCCGACTGGCATAGCTTGCTTCGCCGTAGCGTTCAGATTTTTTATATGGACACGGATGAGATTGTTGCTGCCCTGCATGTGATGTATGCTGATAACTCTAGTGGGACTGCTTCTTACTACCCTTAGTTGCCTAGTGTAGGCATGTCTAGACTTGCCTCCCCTGCTGCGTCAAGCATAGAATCCCCTGCTTTGTTTAGCCTAGGTTCTACTATCGCTGCTCTGCCTTCAGACGCCACTGCTGCGCTCTCCTTCACCCTTGACTCTGGCGCTTCTCGATGTTTCTTCCGTGACTCCACTACGCTGACGCCGCTTGCTACTCCTGCTGCAGTTTCCCTTGCCGACCCTTCCTCCGGCCCGGTAGTCACTCGCAGTTCCACCACCCTTCCCTGTCTGGCGATTCTTTTGGGCTCTCTTACAGGCCTGCACATCCCCTCGTTCTCCACGAACCTAGTTGGTGTTGGCTGCCTCCAGGACCTTGGCGTCACCACTACGTTCCCTGGTCACGAGCGGTACGCTGTCTGTACCGAGGCCGCCACTGGTGCTCCCCTCACCACGTTCCCCCGAGACCCAGTGTCCAGACTATTCACACTGGACACTGCGACCCCCCCGAACGGGACGTCCCCTCAGGTGGTTGCGTCTACCCAGGTTGCTGCTGCCTGCTCCTGTCGGTCGCTCACTCACCCGACACTCCTTTGGCACCACCGTCTAGGTCACCCCGCCCTCCAGCACCTGCGTCACATGTCGCAGTACGGTCTTGTCCTAGGTCTCCCAGGGTCGTTCCCCGAGTTGCCCTCCTCCCCAGCCCCACCGTGCACGCCCTGTGTTGAGGGCCGGCTCCGCCGTGCCCCTCACTCCTCCTCTTTCCCCCTACCGCCGCACCGCTACAGACTCTGCACATGGACCTCTGGGGCCTCGCCCCCGTCCATTGGCCGCGTCGAGAGCGCTACTTCCTAGTGCTTGTCGACGACTACACGCGCTACACCGCCGTGTTCCCCCTGGAGCGGAAGGCCGACGTGCCTGGCGTTCTCATCCCATGGCTTGTCTCTGCGCGTGTCCACCGCGGCCTCCCTGTCTTGCGTCTCCACTCCGACCGTGGTGGCAAGTTTGCATCTGGTGTCCTTGGTCGTTTCTATCGTGCGGAGGGCATCACCCAGACGTTCACCCTGCCGGACTCCCCGCAGCAGAATGGGGTCACTGAGCGACATATCGGCTTGGTCATGGAGGTGGCCCGTACCTCCATGATCCATGCCGGTGCACCCCATTTTCAGTGGCTGTTCGCTGTTCGCTACGCCACTCAGCAGCTTAACCTGTGGCCGCATCCCCAGCAGCCGTCGGTTTCGCCGACCGTCCGGGTCTCCTGGTGACGCCTCTGCGTTTCACGTCTGGGGCTGTCTTGCTCACGTTCGTGCCTCTGGCACGGACAAGCTCACTGCCCGCACAGTCCCCTGTGTCTTCCTCGGTTTCCCCCTTGACGCGTCCGACTGGCACTTCTACCACCCGCCGTCTCATCGGTTCTTTCACTCCCGTGACGTCACCTTTGACGAGTCCGTCTCCTTCTACCGCCGCTTCCCCCACAGAGGTCCCCCGGTTACTCCCCCCCTGTTCCTAGTGACCCCTTCCTAGGTCGCCCCTATCCCCCCTCCCCCTCCCCGTCCTGCACCGTCTCGTGTGTCTCACGTCACTCCCCTCCCGTCAGTTGTCCCCGTCGAGGAGTCTGCTGACTCTAGTGGCCCTGCAGCGCAATCCTCGCCGCCTGCCCCTTTCCAGGCGTCGCCTCCTCCGCCGCCTTCGCAGTCGCCGTCGCCGCCGCTGTCGCAACCGTCGTCACCGCCGCAGGCGTCGCTGCAGCCGACGCAGCAGCAGTTCGTTGACTCTGGGGGTGCTGGCGCTCGGGTGGGTACTAGTCCTGGGGTTCCTGTCGTGGCTTGTCCCGGCGGGCCTGGGGGTGGTATCGGTGTTCGCGGGGTTTCGGGCCCTGGGGGTGTTCCTTCTAGGGGTGCTGGAGTGGAGTGTACTGGAGGTAGCCGTGGAGCAACTTGCCATTCCAGTGTCAGTGTCGTGCCGCCGCAGCAGCAGTCACCGCAGGTGTCAGCCCTTCGCCTGCTCGGACTTCCATCCCCTGACCCAGCGTCTGCGCCTCGCCTGTCGTCTCCTCCTCTCCCTGTTTACGGCTCTGTGTTCCCTCCCCCGGACTCGACTCCGGCTCGTCTTCCCCCTCGTTCCCCTTCAGTGTCCCCTCCTCTGTCTCCTGACCCGATGCCTCCGCCTCACATCTGGTCTCGCCGTCCCTCCCGTGCTCGCCCCGTCGCCCCTGTCCCGCGCTCTCACCCTATGTTGCTTCGTTCCCACGCGTCTCATCCTACCCTCCTACCGTCGCCGCCTCCATCCTCTCTTGTTGTTGCGCCTCCCCCCCTGTCTGACTACCTTTGCGTCGCTCGTCCCCTTGTTCCTCGGATCCATGCCTCCCTCGTTACCGACCCGGTCTCGTGTCTTGACGCTCTTGTCACTGTGGTCGCTGACTTTGCCTCTACCCGCCGCCTTGACTACGCCACCGCTCTGGTCTCTGACCCTGCCAGTCCTCCGTCTGTCGGGGGTGCTCCTGCCCTCGGCAGTGACGTCCTGGAGGACCGCCAGTACGAGCTTGCTTTCCTGTCCAAGTCTGCTCCCCATCTCTGTTCCATGCTGTTAGTCCCTGAGGGTGACCCCGACGATTTCGACATCCCGACCCCTCGCACTTACGCTGAGGCGACCTCGGGACCTTGGGCCTCTCAGTGGATAGCTGCCATGGAGCAGGAGATGGCATCTTGGAGATCCACCAGCACATACGTCGATGCAGTTCCTCCACCTGGGGTGAACGTAGTCGATGGCCGCTGGTGTCACAGGATCGAATGTGTCGAGGAAAGGTTGCACTATCGATCAGTACAAGGCGGTTTTACCTTTGTCAAGGCCGAGCTGCTGAGGAGACACACCTGCACCGACCTTGGAGAACTGCGCCACTACCTGGGCTTGCAGATCTCCAGAGACAGAGCAGCGCGCACCATCACTCTTCAGTTTTCCTCCGCCCAGCCCACACCTCTTCCAGTAGATCACCGGCTCTCTGCTCCAGTTCATGAGGAGTCAACAGAGCCCAGTGGTCCTTACGCAGAGCTGGTGGGTTGCCTCATGTACCTGATGACTTGCACTCGTCCAGATATTGCATACCCTCTCAGCATCCTGGCTCGCTTTGTGGCCACAGGCAGACACAGACCTCAGCACTGGTCTGCAGCTAAGAGGGTTTTGCGTTATCTCGCGAGTACATCAGGCATGGGGTTAGTGCTGGGAGGACGCAGGCCGATGGTCCTTACTGGGCACACAGACGCTTCTTGGGCAGACGACGCTGAGACCCTTAGGTCCTCGCAGGGCTACCCCTTCACCCTTGTTTCAGGTGCTTTCTCGTGTAGAGCTACTCGCTCCTCGTGTGTTGCCCAGTCCAGTTGTGAGGCCGAGATCTACGCCGGTGCCATGGCGGCACAGGAGCTCTGCTGGTTGACCTTCTTGCTCACTGACTTAGGTGAGCGGCCTAGCTCTGCCCCGGTCCTGTACGCTGACAACAGGGCCATGATCCTCTTGTGTCAGGAGCCTCGACTTGAGGGTAGAGCAAAGCACATCCAGTTGCGGTACTTCCTCCTGCGCGAGCTGCAGCAGCGTCGCCAGGCTTGCGTAGTACACTTGGTTTCCGGTGCCAACCCATCTGATATCTTTACAAAGGCGCTTGCGCCTAAAGATCATCAGCGGCACTGTGTACAGCCGGGCCTTGTTCCTGTTACCTCTCACCTGCTAGGGCCTTGACTATGTACTGACCTTTATATATACTTTTGTTTATTCTTGACTGGCCTTGTGGCCTCTCCCAGTGGTTGGACTAGTAGTGCCGCCCTGAGTAGCCGTTTCTCTCATCAGGAACTGCACCTATGCAGTCTAGGGGGTGTGTCAAACATATATATAGGTTATGCTTGTATAGACTGTGTAGGTTCGTATCTTAGAGGGTACAACACTTAGGCTTATACCCTTGTACGTTTCTCACTCGATATTAAAATCCTACGTGAAGACTTTCAGCTACCAAGCCTAGGGGGTGTGTTAAATGATATATTTGATATATATAATGGTAGGCTTGGTAGGTGTTACTGGATCCTAGTGTAGAGGGTACAAACCCCTTTCTTGTATCCCTCTCTTGTATTCCAACTTTCTTCTCTCTTGATATTCCTATCCTTCTTAAACCTCACGCCATTCCATGGCTGCTCTTCCTAGCTAGCTGTGTTTGACAGGACTGTCATGTAATGACAGTTACAATTTGCTCTTTCAGCCCAAATTCCATTACAGTACCAGTTTGGAAGAGTTATGCAATGAAACAATGAAATATCACAATGCAATAACATATAGCATGGTTGCAATCAGCAGTGCTCTCTGAAGCTAGAAGACTTGCCGGAATTCAGCACCCACTGGTCTTCTCTCAGGAATTACGGTACTTGGTTTCACCAGGAGAGTGGGCAGCACAATGAAGGCGTCCTTCCTATCCTAAGCTGTTTTCTTGATAGGGACGCCCCAAAAAAAAACAGGTACTAGCAGCGACTCCGCAGCTCATCCCAGCATCTCCCGGACCATTTCGTAAGCCAGAAAGCACGCAGCATTAGCAGGTACACTCCGTGCCATTGCAGGGCCAAACCCTCTGTACAAGCCCTTGACACCTTCAGTAGCCCACACTTTACGGAAGGCCTGTACTGTGCTGGTGTACTTGGGATTTCTGCACAGGGGTTATTATGATTGAAACAAAAAGAGGCATATGGAGTTAGACGGGTGCGAAAGAAACAAGGAATCTGGGGTTTCGATGGGAATTAGTAGCAACAAGTAACACGGTCATGAAGCCATTGAGTACCGCCGTTCGTGCAGCAGCTTACTGGGTTCAATGGTCAATGTCAGGCAATGAGGGGTCAATGCCATGCTATGAGTGGTCAATGTCATGGTAGGAGTGGTGAATGCCATGGTAGGAGTGGCGAATGTCATGGCAGGAGTGGTGAGTGCCATGGTAGGTAGGAGTGGTGAGTGGTGAATGCCATGGTAGGAGTGGTCAATGTCATGTTATGTTAGGAGTGGTCAATGTCATGGCAGGAGTGATCAATGTCAGGTAGGAGTGGTCAATGTCATGGTAGGAGTGGTGAATGCCATGGTAGGAGTGGTGAATGCCATGGTAGGAGTGGTGAATGCCATGCTAGGAGTGGTGAATGCCATGCTAGGAGTGGTCAATGTCATGTTAGGAGTGGTGAATGTCATGGTAGGAGTGGTGAGTGCCATGGTAGGAGTAGTGAGTGCCATGGTAGGAGTGGTGAATCTCATGGTAGGAGTGGTGAATGCCGTGGTAGGAGTGGTCAATGTCATTTTAGGAGCCGTCAAATGCCATGCAATGAGCGGTCAAATGAAATGCAAAGTAGAGTCAATGTCATGGAATGAATCATCAGCGCCATGCAATCAACCCTCAAAGCCATTCAATGAATCGTGATGTAAGGGGGTAGAACGTCCAGCTAATGTGTGATTGAAAGCAGTCCTGAGAGCTAGAGGTCCAACGGCTAGGGAGTTTAACAATCGGTTGCTGCTGGAACACCTTCACATTGCGCGTGTCATGCGCCAGTGCACTACCGTCCTCCTTGTCACCTGAACTGACGCAACTACTGACCTGGTTCCAACATCTTCTACAGTCGTAAAGAACATGGCTTGCACAGCAGTCTTCAGCACAGAAGGCATGTGCAGTATCGTAAGCTTTTCTGACAACTCGTCGGCAGGCAATGCTTTGTCCAGAGAATATATATTTTGCCACGTCATCACTCACCTGTAGTCGTCTACTTGAATCATGCTCTTGATGACGTCAGTCGGGTACACGGAGGCCCAGAAGCATGCGCCACCCACGCCACCAGCAACAAGCAGCGCTCCCCGGCTGAGCCCTGACGTGTCAGTGCCTCCCGCCATCAGCTGGAGAACAAAGAAGAAAGTAAGGGGAGTTGGTGAAATCCCAAGCAAAATGTTATAAAATGACAACATTCTGCTCAGGGCAGAGGAAAAAACGTGAGGGAAAGGGAACGAGAGGGCGGAGAGCGAAAGAAACGATGAAGGGTGAGAGGAAGGGAAGGAAGGGGGGAGAGGGGGACAGAGGAAGAGTACTGCAGGACGGCGGGAGTGCTGTTTCGAAACACTCTTCCGTTCCGTGCTGTTGCGGGAGTACTCGAACGCTTCAGTACAGCTGCATACGCTGAGGATCGTTCATATCAAAGTCGTTCGCACTTTCATAAGGGCGCATTCCTAGCAAGTGTTAAGACATCGGGTTAACCCCTAGTGTCAGCAGCTCCCAGCAAAGTTTGATCCGAAGTTTACCAGAGACTTTTGAGGCGCCTCAACCGTCCAATCCCCTCCACCTGTTTGGCCGCCTCGTGTGCGCCGATCACGGCGGCGCTTCCCGGCAGCTCACGGAGCAGTTGTGGGAAACAATATGGCACACGCTGTTCTGAATGTTATAACCGTATAGCATGACCGCTTTGAGGCGCCTCAAAACTAGAATGCTATAACCATATAGCATGACCGCCTGAATGCGTGTTCTGCGTCTCACCTGTTTGGTCGCCTCGTACGCGCCGAACATGGCGGCGTTTCCAGGCACCTCCCGAAGCAGCGTGGGCGTGAGGCCTTTAAACAGGCCCAACGCGCCGCCCTCGGACCGGATGACGTGGCGTGCCACGTCCAGTGGGCCCGCGTACCGTGGCACGCTTATGGTCACGGAAGGACCGGCGCCTGCAACAGCTCCCTGGAGATAGGAAGGGTGGAGCGATTGGAGGCGGGAGAAGGTTTGCGAAGGTTTGCGAGCAACTCGACGATTTAGGGGGGAAAAAGGGACCACATGCGTTACGAAGACAGACGACTAGAGATTGGACGTCGCAAGGACAGACCTCGCAGCTGGCCCAGGGAATGCCGGAATACCTGGAGCGGAGCGGCCGCGAGAGCGCTTTGAGCTTGCAGGCGGCACTTGATGAGCTCCGTGGGACACGCGACGAACGACACAGCCAGGCCAGCGCCGCCACCGGCGATCACCTGCTTCCCCACCGATAGCTTTTCGTCCGGGCTGCTCTTCAGAATTGCCTCCATCTGCCCGCGGGCAGTGAAAAGAACCGCGTTGAAAACCGCGACCGTGGCAAGCGGGGGACCGATCCCCGCGTACAGACCTTTCGGGCCCTCCGCGGCTATGGTTTTCCGGACTGCATCCATGGCGCCTGAGTACATGGGCGGCTGGCCTGGAGCGGGCTTGGGCTGTGCTTGTAGCTTGACCTTGATTGTATCGAAGGGATGGCCGACCAGAAGCTGCGCTACTCCTGCGAGCGTTCCGGCGGTTAGATCCTTCGCGACGGCGCTATTGTCGGAAGCCATGCTCTCGGTTTAGAGGTGTGGTAGATTTAACTGAGCGTAGCTGAGCGCAACGAAAGCAAGACACTATGTACAAAGATCAGTGGTAGCAAACCTTGGCTGCGTCTACGTCAACCTTTGCCCTTCCAAAACCGTTTATGCACTTGTCTTGACGGCTGGCCCAACTATGTAGGCTTGAAAAGTGCGGCAGTTCCAAGGTGCATGCGTTGGGACGATAAGCCTGGCGAAGGGGGAAGCAACTCTCTGAAGCAATGGCTCCTTGGGATTCTCCCACTTTCAGATACCGCGCCTCGAGACTAGTGGTTGCTGCTTGGGTCTGAGCTCCCTGGGAGTGGGGGGGAGGGGAGGGAGCTGGCCCTCAGTGTATTGTGCGACCATGATCGTTCACATGGACTCGATTCGAGAGGGTGTGGAGAGGAGTGAGGGGTTTTTGAGTGGGCGGAGAAGGGTTGCTTACTGGTACATCCCCCTGGACGATATTCGAGCTGGTAATCGTGACCGTTAAATCCGATGAATCGAGGGGTATCAACCACCACCGTTACTGGCCTTTGTCCATAACGAAAGGCGGGAAAAGTTTCTGCGAAACGGGTCGCCCAATGGAACCGTAGGCTTCAGACAACCGAGCCAATCAGTTCTTGACTGATCAGCTCGTCATGACTTGATCTATACCAGCCACGAATTTCAACCCCGCCTGTAGGCTCACTTCAAAAGCTACAGACACTCTTTCGCGAGAAATACCAATAGCATATATAATTCCACTCAACCATTACAAATGACATGCAAAATCTTCACCCATATTATTTGCAGAATTTCGATTTGATATTCATGATGCGTATTAGCATTATAATGGCATAGTTAGAAAATGTTGTCAAGAGCATGGAAGGTCCACGAAACAAATGGTAATGATGGTTTACAAGTAGAGAGATGCTGCAAAAACAATTCCCCTCTTCAACTTCTCACTTGCTGCAGCCACCTTTTCTGCAAGGTTTGTTTCACCGATAGTCTTACTTGCCACAATGATCTGAAGGGGCGAATGAACAGAGTGCACCAACATCATGGAGGAATGGGTATGGAAGAGGTGTCGTTAGACGCCGAACTGAAGTGACGCATACCTATGTTTTACATCTAGTATTACCATACCATCACCAATGCCACATTGCCAGCATTGCAGTCCACGCAGCTCTCCCCATGCCATTCCCATTACACAAAACTCCGTTACCAGCACAACCTGTTCCTCTCAATTCACAATCAATGCCATCACAAGCACATGATGATTTCTCGTAAACACTCACTCACCTCCAGGACCAGCATCTCCAGCCGCCTCATAGCGCGGACGAGCGGCCCTTCAAGACTGCCAGCTGCTATCTGTTCTACTCTACTTCACTCCCAGCGTGCGTACACACTCCAGTGCTCACTTTCTGCAGCAGCAACTCCAAGCACCTCACAGCGCGGACGTGCGAGCCCTCAAAGGAGTCAGCTGCTGCAGCTGTATTAGATGTGCTTTTGGAGTGTATACACATCGCATAACCACTCACTTCTCCAAGCAACTCCTCCAGCCGCCTCATAGCGCGGATGAGCGAGGCCCCAAAGGTGTCAGCTGCTGCAGCTGTATTAGAAGTGTACTTAGAGTGTGTACACATCGAATAACTGCTCAAGCAGTTCCTCCAAGCGCCTCACAGTGTGGATGAGCGAGCCCTTAGAGGGCCAGCTGCTGTCAGCTGTATTGGAAGTGTATTTAGAGTGTATACGCATCACATAACCACTCACTTCTTGAAGCAGTTCCTCCAGCCGCCTCATAGCGCGGATGAGCGAGCCCTCAAAGGTGTCAGCTGCTGCAAGCACATCGGCAAAGTTGGCCCCATGGCACCACCCAAACACGGCTTCCATAATGTCCGGGCGAAATGACGCCACGTAGGTTTCCACGTCGAGAGATATCTGATGTGGGACAAATGGGAAAAGGGTCTTGACTTGGAAAAGAACCTCAGCACTATGCCCTCATCAGGGGGTACTCCTATGGACTCTGATCCGAAACAAGTTGGATCTGAAACAAGTTGGATCCGAAACAAGTTGGATCTGAAACAAGTTGGATCCGAAACAAGTTGGATTCGAAACAAGTTGGATCAGTTGGATCCGAAACAAGTTGGATCCGAAACAAGTTGGATCCGAAATATTAGATCCCAGCACATACATGTGGTACAATGCGGTGCAATGTGCATTTTAAATCTGTCTAGTCCAGTAATTCACTTGTAGAAATACGCCCTCACTCACCTCAATGCCACCCAGTCAACAAGCACTCACCTTGCACTCCTCCTGCACTCGTGCTATGCGCCTGGCAATCTCCCTTAATTGAGCCAACAGCCCTTGCAGGCTCTCCCTGGGTCTCTTAGCCCCCCCCCCTTACCCCCCTTCTCCTGCCACACGCAGCACGACAGCAGTGCTGCCACCAGTGCTAATGTAACTCACCTTGCACTCCTCCTGCACGCGTGCTATGCGCCTCGCAATCTCTCTCAGTTGAGCCAACGGCCCCTGCAGACTCTCCCTCGGCCTCTTGGCGCCCCCCGCGCCCTTCTCCTGCCACACGCAGCACGACAGCAGCGCTGCCACCGTCTCCGGGGTGAGCTCTGCCAGGCTGGCGCTAAACAGTAACTCGGTTACCACCAGCTCGTCTGCCGAGGAGATCTCACAGGCCACTCTGCCCTTCACACGCACGATCTCGTCCTCGTCAATGTACCTGCGGGGGGAGAGGGGGACGAACAAGGGCGTGCGATGGGATAATTAAAAAAAAAGGTTACCATAAGCCGTAAGGGTATACCATAAGCCATAAGGGTGTACCATAAGCCATAAGGGTGTACCATAAGCCATAAGGATATACCATAAGCCATAAGGGTGTACCATAAGCCATAAGGGTGTACCATAGGCCATAAGGGTGTACCATAAGCCATAAGGGTGTACCATAAGCCATAAGGGTGTACCATAAGCCATAAGGGTCTACCATAAGCCATAAGGGTGTACCATAAGCCCATAAGGGTGTACCATAAGCCATAAGGGTGTACCATAAGCCATAAGAGTGTAACATAATCCATAAGGGTGTACCATAAGCCATAAGGATGTACCATAAGCCATAAGGGTCTACCATAAGCCATAAGGGTGTACCATAAGCCATAAGGGTGTACCATAAGCCATAAGGGTGTACCATAAGCCATAAGGGTGTACCATAAGCCATAAGGGTGTACCATAAGCCATAAGGGTGTACCATAAGCCATAAGGGTGTACCATAAGGCATAAGGGTGTTTCATAAGCCAGGCTGGTGCTGAGCAGTAACTTGATTACCACCAGCTTGTCTGCAGCTGCAGAGGAGATTTTACAGGCCACTCCCTGCCTTCCACTCGCACTATCTCATCCGCATCGAAGCACTTTGCCTTCTTCTCTGCAGGCAAGATGCCGGAGAAGGCAGACGGGACGAGAAGCTAAGATGGCAGCTTAGCCTTGGGTGACAATCATTGCCTTGCTTGAGAGATCATCCTTCAATACATGCCCATCCCTTCTCTCTTCTCAACGCGCGCTCCAAGCATCCCTCCTGTCCTTTTACTCACTCTAGTCGCCGCAGCACCCTCATCCTCGCTTTAAGCTCGTCCTTCAGTATAAGCCCGCCCGCTGCCTTCACTTCCTTCTTGAGCACTTTGAGAGCGTTCTTCAGCTTGCTCTTCCGAGCCAGCTCCCGGATCCGAGCCTGCAGGTCCGGCGCCGAGGCTAGAGCATGGGAGCTGACCATTGCTTCTAGTGCTTCGGCCCTCCTGACTGCCTTGCGATAGGCAGAGCTGTTGACCTGGAAATAAGGAGAGGAGAATACAAATGTGTGGGAGAGAAACAGAGGAGAGATGAGGATTGTCAATGGTAGAGGAAAATGTTAGATGTGCCAATGTACTGTTGCTCCCCTGCCTTTTTTCCTTCAGGTGCCATAAGCTCAACCATTTGCACAAGTCAGCTGAAAAACAGCATGTACACTTCGTACCCTTCACAAGCACACATCCATGCTTCGTCCTCCATCGCATTCATCGTGTACGCTCTATAAGCCTACCTCCATATCCTCTTCAGGGTCCAGCATCTGCACGCCATCCGGCCCAGCTCGCAGCAGCAGCTGCTGTAGCGACTTAAGGGCGGCCTCCCTTGGCTCCTTGTGCTTCAGGTCCTTGGGGAGGAACAGGCGCACTGCACTTATGCCGTCCAACTGGGGGGGGGGTCATAACGGGGATAACAAACGAGACAGCAGGGAGGGAGAGGAAGAAGGGAGCACAGAGTTTAGGGAAGAAAAGAGGGGAGAAAAGTGCACAGGGGACACAGTGCGCTTGTTGCCTGTTTCCTCTCCCTGTGTTCCTTGGGGAGGAACAAGCGCACTGCGTTTATGCCGCCATCCAGCTGAACGAAAAGTGCCAGTAGATGGGAACGAGGGGGACAGTGACAGGAACTTTGGCGGCCTCTCTCGGCTTCTGGCTCTTCAGCCTTCAGGTGCTTGGGAATACAAGGGGGTTAAAATGGCACGAGAAAGAGGGCGAGGGGATGGGCTGACTAAGCAGCAGCCCTCTTTCTTCTTGGCAGGACCAAGTGAACACCACTTGGGTGCCATAGGTCTTTAGGCGCGCACCGGTTTCGGCTCGAGAGCCTTCTTCAGACCAGAAAGAGGGCGAGGGGATGCGCTGACTAAGCAGCACTCCTCTTTCTTCTTGGCAGGACCAGCCGCACGCACTGCCCTTACGAGGTGACGTTTGAGTGCCGCACTCAGAAGTCATCTCGCTCGTTACAATGCCACACGGCACTGTTTGAGGCGACTCAAAAGTCACCTTTGACAGGACCAGCCGCACCAGCCTTGCCCTTGCCCTTATGACAGGGTGACCTTTGTGTTGATTCAAGAGTCGCACTGCCCGTATAACAGGGCAGCATCCTGCCAACGGACCTGAGCAAGCAGGAATGCGGCGGCCAACGGACTGCCCCCTTCCTGCCCAGGTTTGCACGGCCACACCCTGGACCCCTACCACATTCTTCCCACACCCTGCCTGCCAGGCTGCCAGGCTTCGAGTCAGCTCATGTGCACCAGTCAGCTCACTCACACGCTTCAGCCGGTGGGAAAGAGTGTGATAGTAATTTAGAAACGCCGTTTACCTGACTGCCACAAGCCTGCCATGCGTGCCTCCCGCCCATTACTCCCCCGTTTTGAGACGTCTCAACACAGAAATACTACAATTCATCGTGAGAGACTTTTGAGAATCATAAAAAATCTCGCACCAGCGCTAGCCGATGCACCAGTCAGCACACACTCGCCAGCCAGCACACACTCGCCAGCCAGCACACACTCGCCAGCCAGCGGGAAAGATGCGACCAACGAGCTGCCCCCACCCCCCTCCTCCCCTGGTGGCACGACTGCATCACCTTCCTGCCGCTCTGAGGCGGCGTTTGGGACTCAGAGAGCAGGAGTTTTCTCAGGTGAAAGCAACAAGAGGGCAAAATCATCAGCACCTGGGAAAACACCTGGGAGAGGGGGAACGGTGCAACCAACAGGCCATCTCCCTCCTCCCCAGCTCTGTATGGCTGCACCACCACCACCATCCTGCCGCTTCGCTCCCAGGCAGTGATTTTTGAGAGTTCTTAAAAATCTCCCCGGCTCTGCACACCCCCACCACAATCCTGCTACTCCCAAGCAGTGTTCCAAGTGAAGCAACCACAGCAACACACACCTGAGTCAGAGGGAACGATGCAACCAGCGGACTGCCCCCTTCCTCTCCCGGTCTGCACGGGCGCACGACTCTCTTGCCGCTCCCAGGCGGCCCCATCCGCCCCGCGCTCTCCTCCACGCATCGTGTGAGTATGTCCACGTCATATGCCACGTCAGCTGCTCCCTCCTCTGCCCCTGCTTCTTGAAAGAAATGAAGGACGAAGGGGGTGGAGCGAAGTAGGAGGGGGAGAGAGGGGAGGCATCGTGTGAGTATGCCCCCATCAGCCGCACCATCCTCTGCCTCTGTGTGATAATAATCTAACCATTAGACGTAACAAAACGGAACTCGTATCACACGGATTATTATCACCCGAGCCATCCCCTGCCTCTGCTGAGTGAGACAAGGGGGAGTGGTACCGGATGCTAACTATGCAATCCGAGTGCAACCAGGTATGTGGGGAAGTGCTAAGTGATGCCACGGCATGGCATGGCATGGCATGCCACAGCATGGCGTGGCATGGCATGGCATGGCACAGCATGGCACGGCATGGCATGGCATCATATACGGACCATATAGAACGGAAACCCTTTTTTTGCGCCTTGACGGCATGGCATGGCATGGCATGACACAACACAACACGGCAAACACTTTCTTCAAATCACCCACCTTCTTGTTGCTCCCCTCCTCCTCCCATGCCTCCCTTCTTCCGATTCACCTTCTTAAAATTCACCACAACGCCCCATACAGTCACATCCTCCTCGTTCCCTATCCCCCCTCCCTCCTCCCCTTCCCCCTCCCCCTCCCCTTCTCCCCCTCCCATTCCTCCTCCCACTCCTCCCCCTTCCCCCTTGCACAGTATCCGCACCACCCGCCCAGGGGACAGGAAGGGGAGGGCGTGTTTGGGGGAGGTCAGGAAGGAGCGGATCTCGGCTCGTAGCGAGGAGAGTTGGCGGCGCAGCGAGAGGAGCGAGAGGAGGCTTGATTCGTCGGGGATGTCGACTGATGAGTACTCGGACTCTAGGGCTTGCAAACGCGCCTGTTGGGGGAGAGGAAGGAGAGGAGGGCGAGGAGGGAGGGGAGGGAGAGGAGGGAGAGGAGGGAGAGGAGGGAGAGGGGGGAGAGGAGGGACGACTCGTTGGGAACTCTAGGGCTAGCAAGCACAAGCGTTTTGAGTCGACTCAAAATGCACCAGCACGAGCGTGAAGAAACAGAGATGAGGGAGACACACAGCTTTGTGACAGCTTGGCTCGCCGGGAGGAGAGCTGGCAACGGAGAGGGGTCTGGGAATGTGGAGTGAAGAATATTCACCTTCAAGAGCTTGCCCACTCCACCATGAACTGCCGGGGTCCCAGGGAGGGACAACAGTAAGTGGCGGGGTCCCAGGGAGGGACAACAGCAAGTGGCGGGGAAGAAGCTGCTTCTCATTGAACTCAGTCAACTGGAGAAACATGGAACTCAGTCAACTGGAGAAACATGGAACTCAGTCAACTGGAGAAACATGGAACTCAGTCAACTGGAGAAACATGGAACTCAGTCAACTGGAGAAACATGCCCGTGATTAGCCAACGCACCTGCAACGACCTTTAAGACGCTTCGGTAGTTGTTTCACTCCAAGCACTCAACCCACCTGCAGTGACGGCAGTGCGCTGGATGTCACGGCCCAAGGGGGCGCCTGAGTGAAGAGAACTACCACACCCCTGATACCACTCAATGCAGTCTGACTGGAACTGGTGGTACGAGCTTCGGATGGTCTCCGCTGTCACCAGGCCTGCACTCCGAGGGAAGAACGACCCGTCTAAGCTTGCACGCACAGATGTCAGCACTCAAGGTACCTGCAGCGCCGGCAGTGCTCTGTCCGACTGGAACTGGCGGTACGAGCTGCGGATGGTCTCCTCTATCTCCACCTCAGGGCTCCTCAGCTGATTTAAGATGAAGTTGTAGGACAGGTGGAAGGCGCTGATTGGAGGAGAGGGGGGAGAAGGGGATAGGAAAGGGGGAGCATGAAGTTGTATGTCGGTCAGGGGGGAGGCGCTAATTGGGGGAACCAATGTGGCTCTGCAGACAATGCGGAAGTAAAAGAAACAAATAAAAGCGGAAAGGGGAATGGGCATGGGAGGGTATTCATTCACGCAGGGAACAGTTTTTGACGGGCCTCAAACAGAGACAGGACAGGGGAATGGGTATGGCTGGCTGGCAGGGTTCCACCTAAACAAGGAATACTGATGGAAGCATCCTGCCCGAACCACTGGAGCTGCAGAGCCCTTTTCCGAAGCAGCAGCCACAGCAACAGCCCTTTGAGACTCTTGAAAGCAGCAGAAAATTTAACCCACAGGATATGCATTTGCGGCACAACTCACACTGATGGCACGGATCGTGCTGGTAGAGGTAAACCACCCACCTCACTAAGGGGTCTGCACAGCCATGATAGGTTTTTGAGAATTCTAAAAAAACTCGTTCTTCACCATGCCCTTGGCGACAGCCGGCTCCATCCTTGCATCCACCATTGAAATGCAGATGCCACCTCCGCCCAGCCCTCCTAGACTGGTTGTCACATCTCACCTGACCAGCGGGTCAGCAGAGCCTTTCACCATGCCCTTGGCCACAGCCGGCTCCATCCTTGCATCCACCATCAGAATGCAGATGCCCCGGTCGTCCAGCCCTCGCCTGCCTGCGCGCCCGCTCATTTGGATGTACTCACCGCCCGACAGCCAGCTGTTCCGTGGGGAAAGAGATGACAAAAATAAGGGAGAGTGAGGAAAGAACAGGGGGGCGGATTGGCCGGGCCGTGCGCTAAGTGAATATTAGTGCCCTTGCCTCCCTGCTCGCCCGCTCATCTGGATGTACTCGCCGCCCGACAGCCAGCTGTTCCAGGGGGAAAAGTGATGGGGGGGGACGGATCGGATGAGGAAAGACAGAAAAAAAAAGGGAGGGTGAGGAAAGTAGGGGAGGGCGGATCGGCCGGGCCGTGTGCTACGGGAATATTAGCTTTTCCGTCCAGCCCTCGCCTTCCCACCCGCTCGCTCATCTGAAGGTACCTGCTGCCCGACAGCAGCCAACAGCCAGCTGTTGCAGGGGGGAAGAGAGGGGCGGTTGGGGAGAGGAGGGTAGAGATGTGTTTTGAGTCGACTCAAAACACACCGCTCACCTGAATGTGCTCGCTGCCCGACAGCCAGGTGTTGCAGGGGGGAAGAGAGGGGCGGTTGGGGAGAGAGAGGAGTGTGCAGAGGAGGGGGGAAGGCGCACCTCCTTCCTTTACTTGCACATAGCTGTGGTTTGAGGAGCCTCTAAGTACCTTTAGCCACTTGGTGTGGCTGTTTGTTCGTGATCTGAAAAATTAATAGGTGCACTATTTAGGCGCCTCTCGGGAGCACCGTTAGCCGCCTACCCCAGTTCCCCACATGGATGTAAAGAAAACTGGGTGCTCTTGAAGTCTGGGTGCTGTAGTGCGGCTCACCGTGACTTGGTGCCGTCCCACTTGCGCACGTTGGTGAAGACAACTGTCTTGGCGGGCATGTTGAGTCCGATGCTGAACGTCTCCGTGGCGAACAGGCACTGGGGGGGTGAATGTGTGGGGGAGATACATGGGAATGAGAGGAGAGACTGTAGTGTAAGAGTCATACGGCACGCTGGTGAAGACAGCAGTCTCGGCGGGCATGTTGAGCCCGATGCTGAACGTCTCCGTGGCAACCAGGCACTGAGGGGGTGGTGAGGGGGTTAATAGGGGCAAAAATTGGTGGATATGAGTCCAATGAGGTGCTAGAGTCACTAGGACCAGAGCGCGTACACCTCCCCCGTAGGACACCCCACCCACCCCACTCAGAACAGCAGTTCTAGGAGAGCAACTCGATGACCAGCATTGTTTGACTGTGGTTGTGAACAATCTACAGTCTAGACTGCCATCAACAGCCACCCACCTTGAGCAGCCCCTCGCGGAAGAGAATCTCAATCACTTGCTTAAGCAGCGGAGGCTCTCTGCCTTTGCCCGCGTGCACATCCCAACACGACACCCTCCCCTCAACACCTCTCACCTTCAGCAGGCCCTCCTGGAAGAGAATCTCGATCACTTCCTTGAGCAGCGCCTCTTTATAATAACAACCGCTCCTTTCAGCAGCAACAGGGCTGGCTGTCTGCCAGCCATTTCCTCTGCCTCTCACCGTGAGCAGGCCCTCTTGAAAGAGGCTTTTATGGCACCTTGAGCAGGCCCTCTTGAGCATCAAGGATCTCGATCATTTCCTTGAGCATCCTGCACTTCATTCACACAACACCCTCAGCTCAGCTGCACCCACCTTGAGCAGCCCCTCCTGGAAGAGGATCTCGATCACTTCCTTCAGCAGGGGCAAGAGGCCAGAGTGGTGGATGCCGATGCCCCGCCGCAGCAACGGCAGCATGCTGTTCACCTGGAGGGAGGACGGGAGGTTGGGATGAGAGCATGGGAAGGGCGAAACGGGAGGAGCGGCAGCATACCGATCATCTAGCAGCTCTTCTAAGGCAGCGGCAGCAACCTTGGTTGGCGGATGCCAAGGCTGCATGCAGCACCGCCAGAATGCTGTTCACCTGGGGGATGGGGGGGGGATGGAGGGAAACAGCAGGGAAAGACTGAGAATGGAAAGGATGGCGATTAGACTTTTGTCCTCATGGCGATAAGGGAATTCTGTGCAGAGTCAATCTTTATGGCACCCGCTTTATGGCGAATGCGGAAAACAGCCCTTCTCCCTCGGTCGAGGAATCACGTGCCTCACCTGCAGCAGCTTCCTGTCCTCCTCTGCCAGGCTGTCGATGGCGTTTCTGAAGATCCCATCAATGGATGTCTTCTTCTCATCGTCGCCCTTATTCAGGCCCATTCTTCATATCCGCATGCACCTTGCAGACACTCAGCTCACCTGGGGCAGCTTCTTGTCAAGGTGCAAAAATACGGCAACCGAAAAAAACGGGCCGTATCAAACGGCCGTTTTTTTCGGTGATTTGAGGAAAAATACGCCGAATTTTTAATAGACGAAAATGTGCTAAAAAAAAAACAAACAACAACAACAACAAAAAAAAACAAAACCTACTCTGACCAGTAAACAGGTGGGGACAACTGTCATGGGCTTTCTAACGTCAAAACAGCATCTAAATGCGGCTACAGATAGAAACGCCTCTACATTCGATAAGTCTACGTCCCCCTCCTCCTCCTCCTACAGGTGTCTACCTCCCCATCCTCATCCTAAGCCTCCCCCTCCTCCTCCTAAACCTCCCCCCTAATCCTCCTAGGCATCCTTGTGAGCCTCCCCCCCCTAATCCTCCTAAGCCTTCCCCTACTCCTCCAAGTGTCTACTCGTCGTCCTCCTCCAAATGACTCCTCCTCCTCCTCCTCCTCCTCCTCTTCCTCCTCAGCCCCCTCCTCCTCAACCCTAAAATGTTGAGCGAACAATTTCCCAACAGCGCGAGCAAACCCAACCACATAACAAGACCTCGATTGGCAATAATAAACTTAGTACACCTCCCATTAAAAAAACGACCGTATAATACGACCGTTTTTTTGCACACACATGAAAACGCACCCAAGACCGTTTTTTTCCGTATTAAACGGTCGTATATTTCGGTACAGTATGATACGGGCTAAAAAGGAAAAATACGCCTTTTTTTGTACCTTGCTTGTCCTCCTCCTCTGCCAAACTGTGGATGGCATTCCTGCAGCGCCCCTCACCTGGGGAAGCTTCTTATCCTCTTCTGCCAGGCTGTCAATGGCGTTCCTAAAGATGCCATCGATGAGCGTCTTCTCTTCGTCCTCATTCAGGTCCATCCGTGACATCTGCAGCGCCAGCGCCTCACAGTCCGCGCGGCTGAACGAGAACACGATCACCGGGTCGTACTGCCGCTGCATTATCATCTTCACTATCTTGTATATGTCACTCTCCTCCCCTTTCCTTCCCCCTCCTGCTCCGCCCGCTCCCCCTCCCCCCGCTCCCCGCTTCCCCTTCCCCCACTTCCCCCCCTTCTTCCCCCCCTCCTCCCCCTCCTCCCCTCTCCCGCCCCCTCCCTCCCCCCCTTCCACAGCATTCATTGCCTTCTGGAAGGAAGCTTCGCGGAACTTGCCCTTCTCGTCGACGGCAAGGAAGAGCCCCATGCCGCCTGCGGGGAAGATGTAGTGCTGGAGAGGCGTGGGGCGGTAGTCCGTGTAGACAATGTGGCACGGCTGCTGGTGCACCTGGTGGGAGGGAAGGGGCAAAGGGAACAGAGAAGGAGGGGAGGGAGGGCCAGGGGTTGAGTGGAAGATGTAATGCTGCAGCCTGCAGGGACGTGGGGGTAGTCCGTGCACACGATGTGGCACGAGATGACTTTTGAGTCGACTCAAAAGTCATTTTGAGTCGACTCAAAGGTAGTCAGTCCGTGTATACTATGGACCTGGGGAAAAGGAGGGGGGGACACCGAGGGAGGCGAGGAAGTGGACGATGTAGTGCTGCAGGGGCGTGGGGCGATAGACCGTGTGCACGATGTGGCACGGCTGCTGGTGCACCTGGTGGATCGTACAGGGATGAAAGGAGCAGCGACTAGTTTTTAGGCGCCTCAAAACTGGTGCACCTGGTGGATAGTACAGGGATGAAAGGAGCAGCGAACGGTGCGGAAAATAGGGAAGTGCAGCGAGGAGGAGTGAGAGGAGACAGAGAGATAGCGGAGGGGAGGGGGAAGGTGAAGTGCTGCAGATGGGTGCGATGATACAGCAAACTCTCGGGCATTGGGCTGGGCACAGTAGCCGAGAGGAAGACGAATGAGGAGGACTTGGGCGCCATGACGATGCTCTCCTCCCACACCACCCTGCGCGCTCCTTGTCCCTCAAGGAAGGCACCTCATGCCCTACTTTCCACCCACCTTCACCGCTCTGCACCGATATTTTTGCCCCAATCACGCACCTTTGCCACCCATTCAGCAAAATCTAGAGCATTGGGAACAGTCGCCAAGAGGAAGACAAAGCAAGAAGATTTAGGCACCATGACGATGCTCTCCTTCCACACCACGCCTCACTCCTTGTCCCTCAGGGAGCGCACCTCATTCATACACCACCGCCTTTGACCACTCTACACCAGTCTCACTTACCTTCGCCACCCATTCTGCAAACTCTCGGGCATTGGGCACAGTCGCCGAGAGGAAGACAAAGCGAGAAGATTTGGGCGCCATGACAATGCTCTCCTCCCACACCACGCCTCGCTCCTTGTCCCGCAGGTAGTGCACCTCGTCGAATATGATCCACCCCACCTCGCGCACGAAGTCCGACCCGCGGTACAGCATACTACGCAGGATTTCAGTCGTCATAACCTGGGGTGGTACAGGGGATGTTTGGGGCAAACGCAAGGGGTGCATTGAGGTGAAGGTGGGTGCGGAAAGGTGCTCCTTGTCCCGCTGGCAGTGCACCTCGTCGAATGTGATCCACCCCACCCCACCTCGCGCATAAAGTCCGACCCCTGATACAGTTGCGCAGGATTTTTGTGGTGGAAAATTACCGTGGTCATATTAGGTATTTCAACGAGCATACCGGGTTTCCGTGGCCATCACCTGGGTCCTGGGGTGGTCAGAGAGGATGATGGAGATGCAGAACCGTCAAGTCAAGAGGGTACCAAGAGGAGTGCAAACCATCCCCCCCATCAATCCAGCACGCTGGGAAGAATCTCGATATAGGGAGTCATATAGGGCGGTTTAGAGTGGTGAAGAGCGCCGATGATGGATAGGTAGGACGGGACATATGCACAGCAACCATGTTACCGAGCAAGGAGGGTCCGAGCATGCCGACACACAATATGTTATGTTACTCACCAGGTGGCATTGGGAGCGACATTTGAGGCGCCTCAAAAGTGCCGAGACACAATATGTTGCCCATCAGGCAGGTGGCATTGGGAGCGATGGTGATGTCCCCCGTCATGAGCCCCACATCCCCAAGCAGCAACGATCGGTAACGAGTATGCCATCACATCAGGCACCCCCATGCACGCCCAAGCACCCACCCACCAGGCACGTGGCGTTAGGCGCGATGGTGACGTCCCCAGTCATGAGCCCCACGTCCCCGAACTCTTGGCTCATTTCCCGAAACTTCTGGTTGCTCAGCGCCTTGATGGGCGACGTGTACACGACGCGCTGGTTGTCCCTCATGGCCATGGCAATGGCGTACTCGGCCACCACTGTCTTGCCTGCGGATGTGTGTGCGGACACCTGGGTGGGTGAGATAGGGCGTGGGGGAGAGGGAGTAGACGGACAAGTTCTAGAGACAATGACCCCCCTTGCCGGGCGACGTGCACACGGCGACGCGCTGGTTGTGGTTCATGGCCATGGCGATGGCGCCCTCGGCTACCACCGTCTTGCCGGCGGATGTGTGTGCGGACACCTGGGAACAGGGGCGTGGGTGGGGGAGTAAGAGGGCAATGTTCTCGGGACAATGACCGCCCTTGATAGGTGACGTGACGTGCACACGGCACGGCGACGAGCTGGTTGCCCCTCAGCGCCATGGCGATGGCGTACTCTGCCACCACTGTCTCGCTGGCTGAAGTGTGTGCAGAGAGAGCTGCCCAGGGGAATGAGGGAGAGAGGGCAAGGGAAGGATGAAGCTGTCTGTCTGTTGCGCATCGCCACACTGCCGGGTGTTTTTTAGAGTTCTCAAGGTGTTTTTGCGAATTCTAAAAAACACCCTGCAAAACCAGGGATGGGGAGTGCGTGAGGCATTCAAGGAGGGGGCAATGATGTGAGTGTGTACAGCGTACATGACACACGGTTGCCTTTAACTGCGAAGGCAATCACATACTCTGCTGCTACATTCTGCAGGCAAGACTACAGTCTGCTACAGCCTTCCCAGATCCCAGTCTTGCCTGCAGACTCGTGCACGGAGACCTGGGTGGGTGGGGAGAGGAGAGGAGTGGGAAAGTCTTGCCGATCGCATCTGCTACTTGCTACTTGCCTTCAGAGGTGTGTGTGTGTGCCAAGACCTGTGAGGAGAGGGGGGAGGGAGAGAGTGGAGCCATCATCCAAGGCAGTGCTTCTTCCACGGCTTTCAATCCACCCACACGAGTCGTTTTGAGACGTTCAACATAGCCACGTGATAGAAGATTTGTTATGAGACGTCTCAAAACAGTGTGTAATTCACGGCTTTCAAGCCACCCACACGAATCTCAGCTGACCAACCAGTGCATCTTGCAGAAAAGAATTGTAGGGATGGGATGAATGCGTGCAGTGCTGATGATATTCCCACGCACTAATGACCCAGATCCGAAACCCCCGCGCTGAGCTTCGATTGTACCTTGGGAAAGGACGGGAGTGGGGACGGGTGGCGGGGGGTTGGGGGGGGAACGAGAGGGTAAAGGGATGGAGGGGACGCCATATTGCGCCATTCAATGCGCTTTCCCGTTATAAACGCTCAGTTCCCTGCCTTCGCTAGAATTTCCCGTTCACCAAAATGGATGAACGGCTTGCGGTTTAGGGCTAGGGTTTCCACTCGGGGTTTCTGGTTTAATGTTTCAAGGGTTTCCAGCCAGGGTTCTGGGGTTTATGGTCCCCTTGCGTGAATCTCACCAGCACGGATTCGTTGGCTTCCAGGCACCGCACGGCCTCTTCCTGAAACGGGTCCAGCTTAAACGGGTACTCCTTGGCAGGCTTTTCTGGCAGCGGTTTCCGCGCAGCTTCCTTGCTGGTGGGAAGCTTCCAGCCCTTGGGGTACGCAACTTCGTGCAGGCATCGCACGCCGCCGCTGCCGCTGCCGCCCGTGCTGCCGTCCTCAAACTCCTCGTTGCGCAGCACGAGACCCGTCAGCTCCTCCTCCCCTCCTGCCGTGCCGGCCGCGCCGGCAGCACCCACGCCGGCAGCCGCCGAGCCAGTTGCAGGCCCACCGCCGTCTGGCGCGTGGGCGATTGCGTCCGGCTCGTCGTCGCCGCCGCCGCCGCTGCCACCAGAACGATCGGCGCGTTCCTCGTCGGTGGAGGCGCGCTGCTTCCACGTGTCGTCATCGACGCGCAGCGGGATCTTCGGGGCTCCGCATGCGGCTGTTGTAGAAGCCGATTTCGGTTTCTTGGAAGGTTTAACAGACGGCGAGTCTGCCTTGGCTTTATTCTTCTTCGAGGGTTTTGGGGGCTTGCCGCGCTTTTCGTCCGAACGCTTCATTCTGAGTGAGCAGGCGCAGCGTAAAGGCTAAATATTTTGAGCTGTAAACACGGAATGACCTGAACCGCACCGTTGTGAATGCTGACTGCACAAATGATTGAGCGAGTGCAAGATGGGCGAACCACCTTCCCCTGGGTTCGCTCAGTTAGTTCCCGTATTTCGTTTCCAGTGCGTTTCAGTGCGGTGTTTATGTTTATTGACGACAAAAGGTTAATTTAGGAGCCACAACCTAAAATAAATTTTCTACTACTTCGACTGCATAGGATGGACTCACATTGATTCTTTACAGCAATAACCAATATGTTGGGCTGAGAAATGCCCTTAGGATCTTTCCAGAGACTAAGTCCCAGTTGTAAAAGGAGACTTGAGTAGTGCAGCGGAAGTTGAGTAGTTGAACCCTTGTACTAGTATATGAGAACAAGTGATTGATTAAAAGAACAAGCATACAGCAATATATAGAAAGTAGGAAAGCAAGCAGTTGTAGAATACAGTTGAAGGAGCGGTTATCGAGTCGCACAGCGACTCGATTGTCGCTTCGGTTACCATCCTTGCAGTTGTAACGGTCAGTCGCAACCTCCGATTGCGGCCCTTCGAGTCCTTTCGTGTTCTTTGTCCATCCCCTCGTGTAACCTCCGTTGACTCGCGTACCTGTTACGATCTTCCTCGAGTGTGGTGTTACACTTCAGAAACGCTTAAGTCTTTGAGGTATTTCCAACACTCCCCTTCGTTTCTGGAGTGCTGACGTGTTCAGATCCGGTGACGTTTGTCTGCCCGGTCAGCAGTATGTAGTAATCGAACTTTGCCTTCGCCAGTTTCTTCGTCAGGTAGTCTACGGCCATTTCTGTCGTAGGGCAGTAATTGAGTTGAAGTCTCCCTTTCGCGATTTCATCATTGACGAAGAAGTACCGCAGGGCGATGTGTTTGGTTCGGTTGGCGAAGCCGTCCTTGTTCGCGATTTTGATCGCAGATTGGTTGTCGCAGAGGAGTGAGAAGACGGGCAGGGTCGCAATCTTTGCTTCCTCGAGTAACTCTCGCAGGTAAAGTCCTTCCTTGGTCGCAGTGCAGAGGGCGATATATTCTGCTTCAGCCGAAGATAGTGCGATTAGTTCCTGTTTGCTCGACTGCCAGGAGATAGTCCCGATAGGCTCTAGTCGGTAGATGTAGCCCGTTCTTGATCGTCGATTTTCCCTATCTCCCGCGTGGTCGGCGTCGACGTATCCGAGTAGTTGTACGGACGATGTTGTTACTTTACTGTAGATAAGTCCGGTCGTCGGCGTAGAGACGAAGTAGAGTAGTGCCCGATTTAGTTCCTCGAGATCTTCTTGTTCCGGCTGCTTCAGATGCGTCGCCAGTTGGCTCGCGCTGTAGGATAGGTCAGGTCGGCATGTTACTGCTGCGAATAGTAGGCAGCCGAGCTTCTGCTGATACTCTTGGATTTGCTTCGCGGGGAGTTTTGCGGAGGTGTCGTTGTTGTTCCCGTAGCGGTAGGGAGTTGTGACTGTAGTCGGTGTTAGTCCGAATTTCTTCGCGACAACGCCTGCGTATTTTCCAGCATATAGGTAGAACGCCGAGTTGTCTTCGACGACGTTCAGTCCCAGGTACTGGGTCACGGTGTCAGACACCGTGAGTGTCAAGTTACTTTTCAGCTCCCCTTCGAACCAGGTGGCGATGTCGGTAGTGGAGCCGATGTAGAGTAGGTCGTCGACGTAGACGATGAGTAGGATAAAGTCCCTTTCCTTCTGTAGTCGGTACATGCCTTGGTCGTGCGGCAGCTGTAGGAATCGATTCTGACGAGGCGACCATGAGGATGCTGCTGCCAAAGCCGCGGGGCTTGCTTGATCCCGTAGAGGGATTTTATCAGCTGACATACTTTTGTGGGGTCGTCGATGAATCCGTGGGGCTGCTCGACGAAGATCTCGGCGTCTACAGGTGCGTACAGGAAGGCATTTGCGACGTCGATCTGGCGCAGTGGTAGTTTCTTCGTGGCCGCGACGGCGAGTAGAATGCGCAAGGAGGTGTGACGGGAGACTGGGGTGAATGTTTCTGTGTAGTCGGTTCCGTATCGTTGGTCGAATCCTCGTACGACCCAGCGAGCCTTGAATCGTTCGATGGAGCCGTCCGCATTAGTCTTGATGCGGTACACCCATTTTCCCGAGAGTACGTTCTTCCCGTTGATGTTCGTTGCAAGTACCAGCTTCCATGTATTTCGATCTTGCAGAGCTTTCAGTTCCTTTTCCATTGCCTCCTTCCATTTCGCCTTATGTTCCCCCCCCAGAGCCTGCGACAGAGCCGTTGGCTCACGCGGAGATGGCGGCGGCGGGTGCTGGACGGAGACCCATAAGCCGAGTATCTGCAGTCCCGTGGGTGTGTGTCGAGGGGAATTTTCATTCCCGGAATAGGCTGCTTCGTCACCATCTTCTGGATCAGGTAAGAAGTTTGGGCCGATGCGTTCAGAGACATTCGTGTCGACCGGGTGAGGTGTAACGTAACCTTGGTCAGCAAAGTGGTAAAGGGTGTCGAGGTTGTTGCTATCGAGAGGATTGTCTTCGTCGAGTGGAACAGGCACGGAACAGTAAGGGAGTGAGTGGTCCGGCAGCTTCCGAAGCTCCAGGTACGTCTTCTTCTGCTGCGTCAGCCTCGGCAGCACGGTCGGCGAAGGAGCGAAGGCCCGTGAAGCCGTCGGTGGGGTCGTCTGTGTTGGCGACGTTGTCCAGGTAATGCTGCAGCGTCAGTCGTTCGTAGAAGATCACATCACGTGATGCCACGGTATTTTTGTCTTGTATGTCGAGGAGTTTCCATGCTTGGAAATGTTTGGCGATGCCGAGGTGTAGTCCCCACCGTGCTCGTTGAGTGAAGCGTCCTGCTCGGACTGTGTGGGGTCTGTACTGTACCATGCAGCCGAAAACCCGAAGTAATTTTGTGCTGCCCCTTTTTTGTGTCCACAGCAGGTGCGGTGATGCGTTGTTGGGAAGCGAGGACGAGGATAACAAATTGTGCAGGTGGACTGCATGGGTCATCGCGTCTGGCCACAGTGTGTTGGGCAGTCTCATCCCCAGGAGCAGCTTCCGCATCATCGTCTGCAAGGTCCGGTTCATTCTTTCTGCTACCCCCTACTGCTGGTGAGCGTAGGGCAGAGACACCAGGCGTCTGATTCCTCTTTCCGCCAAGTAGTTCCTGAATCGTTGTGACTGGTATTCTAGTGCGCCATCTGACTGGAAGCTCTTGAGCTTAGTTCCTGATTCTCGTTCAGCGATGGGGAGCCACGTTGTGAAGGCTTCGAAAGCTTGATCGCGCGTCTTGAGGTTGTAGTGCCAGACATATCTTGTTGCTGCATCGATGAACGTGATGACATAGTTGAAGTCCGCTTCACTGTCATCTCGAGGCATGTTTAAGATGTTGCTGTAAACTTTTTCCATCGGTGCGTATGTAGGTGCGCTTGGGTTGTGATGTGATGGAAAATGTTGGTGGGGAAGATCGGCTTCGGGGCACGTGAAGCACCGTGCGCGTGGTCGTCGAAGTTCTTGGCCGCTCGTTGTAAGGAGAGCGTTTTTCTCTAACACTTCGGCTTGGATGGTTTGTAGTACTGTGCTGTTTGCAGGGTGGCCGAGGCGTTGGTGCTAGATGTCGTCGGGAGCGCGATGGCCAGGCGACCGTTGGTACATGTCAGTGTTGGAGAAGAACGCAACGACCGTGGCGGGACTTCGGCAGACTTCTCGTGTGATTGGCATAAGTTGATCTGCTTCGGTTGGTGGTCCTCGGATTGCTGGTGATGGTACTCGGCTGGGTCCCGCTGCTGTTACTTCAGGTGATGTCGAGGAAGGAACACTTGCTGGTACTTGTCTTTCTTGTCGAATAAATGTTAACGCTCGTGTTCTGTCTGCTGCAGGTATGGTGTTGGAGTACCAGAAGCCATCTGGTTTGAAGTCGGGGTCAAGATCCGGCGGGTGCGTCCAAGCGGCAAACGACACGATGCCATCGCTGTCGGCAGTACCGCGGTCGGGGACGAAATCCAACACGAAGACGCCCGACTTCAAGAGAGCGCGACCGATGAAAAGACCGCCCTTCCCGTGGTAAAGGCGAAATTCGTTGGAGTCCGAGTCGCATTCCAGGTGAATCCCTTTCGCCATCAACTGGCTGACGCTGAGTAAGTTGTATCCCAAGTTGTCGACAATTAGAAATTTGTTGAGTTGTAGTCTGACGTTCGTCTCCATTGACTGAAGCTAAACGACGCCTTGTCTGTTTGTTTTCAGGTTCTCGTTGTTGGCGACGGTGATGATGACATCGCGGTTGAGGCGTCGCTCTCGCTGCACGAAGCGCCCGGAAGAACACATGTGTTGACCGCAGCAGCTATCCAAGAACCAGGTGTTTCGCCCGGTGGGTTCGGCGTTGGCGACTGCAGCGTATGTCGGGTTAACCTGAAGTCCTTGTGAGCGCGGTGGCGGCAGTTCTTCTTCGTCTGGAGCGTAAGTGGGTGGTGAGCCGGGTGCGCAGTTTTCGATGTGTACCATGCAATTGATAATGTTTGGTGTGCCTTGTGCAGATGTGGAGGAACGCCTCGATGTGCATTCTTGAGTGGAGGCGACTTGTGGGTCTACTGGACGATAAGCTCGTGGGCGTGTGCAGTTGAATTTGGAGTGTCCGGATGTTTGACAGTTGTGGCAGAACAGCGGCACAATAGTGAGTCCTTTGTTGTCTCGTTGATCTTGCTTGCAGCGTCGGTTGTAGTTGTTGTCGTTCCTTCGTTGAGTGTAGAAACCTAACGGTTGCTGCTTCCTTGGTTGTCTTTCTTCAAACAGGTCCATCTCCTATTGTTCAGCATGAAGCTTGGCGCAGGGGTGCATCTCCGAAATTCTTCCGTGGGCGCGAAGAAGCGAGCCGGTGGTTCTCCATTCTGGCCCGAGCCTAGCAAGGACAAGCGTCACGAAGCTTTCTTCAGTGATTGTGCCTCCGCACCAAAGCAGGCGGTCGCGGAGTGTTTGGCAGCGACTCATATACTGCATCGCCTTTTCCCCGGTCTTTATCTGTATCGTTGTCAGCTGCTGCATGAGTTTGCTTTGTGTCACGCTGTCGTTTGCT